ATAATACCTAACATGTTGTATGAAGCCAACAATACACTAATACCAAAACCGAACAAGGTCAACACAAAAAAGGAAAACTACAAGCCAATCTCCCTAATGAACACTGATGCAAAAATTGTCAACAAAATTTTAGCTATCATAATCCAACAATGTATCCATAAGATAATTTACCACGACCAGGTAGGATTCATGCCAGGGACACAAGGATGGTTCAACATCCGATTATCAATCAACATTATCCAACACATCAACAAAAAGAAATATAAAAACGATATGATAATATCAATTGAAGCTGAGAAAGCTTTTGACAAAGTGCAACACCCATTCATGATAAAAGCCCTTGAAATTCTTGGGACACAAAGAACATACCTCAACATCATAAAGGCCATATATGACAAGCCATCAGCCAGAATCATTCTCAACGGTGAAAAGCTGAAAGCATTTCCATTAAGATCTGGAACAAGACAAGGATGTCCACTCTCACCACTGCTTTTCAATATAATATTGGAAGTCCTGGCCAGAGCAATAAGACAAGAGAAAGACATACACGAATCCAATAGGAAAAAAAAAAAAGTCAAACTATCATTATTTGCAGAAGATATGATAATATACATAGAGAACCCCAAAAACTCCACAGAAAAACTGATTCAACTCATCAATCAGTTCAGTAAACTGGCAGGATACAAAATCAACACGCAAAAATCAGTAGCCTTTCTATACACAAACAATAAATCTGAAGAAGAAGAAATAAAAAAATCCCTTCTATTTTTGAAACAAAAAAAAATCAAATACTTGGTAATAAATCTAACAAAAGAGGTAAAGGACCTATACAAATAAAACTATAAAACACTGTTAAAAGAAATAGAAGTAGACACAAAGAAATGGAAAGACATCCCCTGCTCATGGATTGGAAGAATAAACATTATTAAAATGGCCATCCTACCCAAAGCAATATACAGATTCAATGCTATTCCAATCAAAATTTCAATGTCATTCTTCAAAGAAATAGAACAATTATTGATGAAATTCATATGGAATCACCAAAAACCCCGAATAGCCAAAGCTCTCCTGAAACAAAAAGAAGGGAATGGAGACATCACACTCCCAGATTTCAGGCTATGCTACAAAGCCATAATCATCAAAACTGCATGGTATTGGAACAAGAACAGACATACAGACCAATGGAATCGAATAGAAAATCCAGAAATAAAACCACAGATTTATGATCAACTAATCTTTGACAAAGGAGCAAAGACTATGCATTGAGCAAATAAAGTTTGTTCAATAAACGGTGCTGGGAAAACTGGGTTGCTACATGCAAAAGAATGAAGCTTGACCACTACCTCACACCATACACAAAAATCAACTCAAAATAGAGTAAAGAACTAGACATAAGACCTGAAACCATAAAATACATAGAATGAAATATAGGCGAATCAGACATATCACCCAAAGCAGTGATAGTGAAGGCAAAGATAAACAGCTGGGACTACATCAAATTCATTGCTTCTGCAAAGCAAAAGAGACAATAACAAAAATAAAGAGTAACCCCAGCAGACTGGACAGAGAGAGGGAGCAGAGTCCCAGCTGGCTGCGGCACCTAAGGGCCCTCCCCACCCGCTGCTAGACCAGCAGTGCTCCAGCCAAATGCTCAGCTGCAACCTGAGGAGCTCTACGTTGTGGGGTCTGGGCAATCCACCCCATCACACACACAAACTTGCGTCCTCAGGCCAGTATTCGACATGGCCACACACACCAGCAGACCCACAGCCACACACACCCACATCACACAACACCCTCAGGCCCATGCGTGCACCCAGCTACTGCCCACCCTGGAAGCCAGACCCACAGCGGCTCAGGATAACCAAGCCACTTCCAGGGACCTGCCTGTCTCCCACCCTGAGGTGACTGCACAGGCAGCGTTCCCAACTGACTTGCTCTTCTTTCTCCTCACCACCTCTTGGGCCCCTTCCAAGCACATGCAGAGACAGAAGCACTTGTGAGCTTGCTTATGTATGTCCCTCTCAGCAGCACTTCCAGAGATGTGCGCCACACCTGCCCTTTACTCTCACTGACAATCCTTCCCTCCCTTGTGTCTGTGCCAGGTGTAAAAGCCAGCTGACTTATCCCGCCAGCGATGCCACTTGGGCACACCTCCGAAGTCTGGTTTGACTTGGTCCTTGGTGGCCTCATGTGAGTCTCTGGAGGGCCTGGCCTGCAGAGCAAGCACAATGCACTCGGGCGCACACTCACAGAAGTGGTACAAATTTCTTCAAAAATCATGTAGGGAGAGGAAACATAATTTCTCCTGAACCCTTCTGAGTTCTTGGCTGAGATCCCTGTAATAAAATGCAAATTAACAAGATAATAACAAGTGTGTGGCTTACAACTCAGTTTCTTCAACAAAGTAAACTTATCAGAAATGCCAGGTTAAAGAAAGGTGGTTTTAAAGTTTGCAGAATTTGTTCGCTAGAGTCCTTTGGTCCCTTCTACAGGCTGACTTGTCCTTTCTGGAATGATTGGAGGAAGGATGTTTTGAAATGTTTGTTTTCGTTTTAGTCAAAAGTAGTAGAGCATATAATTCTTCCTGGGGTTAGCGCTTCTCAGTTGCCCTTAGTTCAAAGGTTTATGCCAGACTATTAAATTTGGGGGTGACATAATCACCTGAATTTATTTTTTTCAAAGATTTATTTATTTATTCATACAAGCACTGGGTACAGTCAGAAGCGCGGGAGGGTGAGAGAATTCACCAGAGCCAGAACGGGGAGCAGAGCAGGCAGAAGGACTGAAGTACACTGCTGAGGGGAGCAGCGGGCGGCAGGAGAGGTCTGCGGGCCATGTGGGACCCTCCTCTGGCGGCCAGGGGGCAGCCAATAATGGAACTAGCGCCACAGAGGCTGCGGGGAGCTTCGCAATCCAGTGCTCAACTGCTGCACCACCAGGGAGGCCCATCACCTGAATTTATTTTGACTGCGAGTATGACATTAGGTTTTATTTTATTTTTTTTAAAGATTTATTTATTTATTTATTTATTTGTTTGTTTATTTATTTATTTATTTATTTATTTATTTTATACAAGCACTGGGTACAGTCAGAAGCGTGGGAGGGTGAGAGAATTCACCAGAGCCAGAGCGGGGAGCAGAGCAGGCAGAAGGACCGAAGTACACTGCTGAGGGGAGCAGCGTGCGGCAGGAGAGGTCTGCGCGCCATGTGGGACCCTCCTCTGGTGGCCGGGGAGCAGCCGGGGATCGAACCGGCGATTCAGAGGCTGCGGGCAGCTTCGCAACCCAGCACTCAACCGCTGCACCACCGGAGAGGCCCGACATTAGGTTTTAAATTGGATAGTAAATTAAAAAATAAAATTTATTTTGAACACAAATGAAAAATTCTAAATAAAATATTGATAGTTTATACAGGTGTAGTTCCTAAGAATAATAAATTACCCACATCCTTGCCAACATTTATTGTTGCTAGTTTCTTTTTCTATTATGTGCCATTCTCAGTAGTGTAAGATGGTTTCTCATTGTAGTTTTGATTTGCATTTCCCTGATTACAAGTGATATTGAACTTTTTTTTTCACATACCTGTTGGCTATTTGTATTTCCTCTTCAGAGATGTTCCTTTTTAGCTCTTCTGCTCATTTTTTGACTGGACTATTTACTTTGTTTTTGTTGAGTCTCATCAGCTCTTTGTAGATTTTTGTGATCAGCCCTTTATCACTAGTGTTGTATGCCCAAGAAGATATGGTATATACACACAGTGGACTATTACTCAGCAATCAAAAAAGATAAACTCATACAAGTTGCAGCAACATGGATGGAGGTGGAAGGGATCATGCTTAGCAAAATAAGCCAGAAAGAAAGAGAAAGATACTGGATGTTCTCACTCATAGCAGGAATTTAGAAAACCTCAAATTTCCCATAGAAAACCTAAGGGAGCAAGAAGAAGACTAATTGCAATAAAGTAAAAATAAAAATCAACAAGCAACTACAGAACAGAGACATACTGTTGTAGGGGGCTGTGGGAAGAGAAATGGGATTAGGGTCAGAATAAGGGGGGGAGTGGGAATTGTATGGGGAATATAACCAAAATGAAAATGCATACATGGTACAAAAGTGAAAAATGATGTAAGAATAATATAAAATAAAATAATTAAATAAGAATAATAAATGATAATGAAGTAAAAATATTCACAAGTGAAAAAAATAATTTTCCAGATTTATATCAACATAACTGTAAATAATAAAACTTAAAAAAGAAAAGTCCAAGTAAGTTAGTCCTTACAATATAATTCTAAGTGGAATGGGTGAAGAAAGTGCTTAAATATATAAATAGTATTAGCCAAAAATGTCAATGATCAATCTAATTACAATGCTGGAAAATGGATATTTTGGTTAGGTGTAGAACTAAAACATCAGTTTCATCACCCTTATTAAACTGTTCAGTTTAGATAATAAAACAAAGTGAAGATGGCAAAGTTTGTTTTAATATTAGAATATGAGACAAAATCATCTATTTTCAGAGTTGTTAATCTGAACTACTACTAGCAAAATTTTTCCAGATATATTATAATCAGCATGTTAAGTATACAAATCAATGGGTTGTTTTCTTAGGAAATAATAGAGAAATCAACAGATAATACTTGAAAATAAGTTATTACAGAATAAATAAAAAGAAGTTTAGCACTTATATACAGAAATTTATACAACTGCAAAGAATACAAAGCTTGGATATCTTATGCAAATATAACACACTGTTCTGGATTTTAATTAAAACATAAATACATACAGTTTAGAACATTATAGGAAAAATACTGTGAGTGGAGAAAGGAGGAAACAATCCTTATATTCCAATAATAAAAAGGATATTGTGCTAAATTTTGTGCAGTGATTTGTTTTTGTGTGTGCACAGTAATTTATCAGAAATTGAAAATCAACATAAAATTCCAGTTTATAAAAATAGATAATATTGGTGACATGAATAAAAATAGTAAATAATAGAGATTACTGATAGAGGTATGCATATACACACACATACCAGGCAAACACATTAAGTACTGCACACATAATACATACATTTGTAATCAGTGAGAAACAAACTGATTGTGCTTACAGGGCAACCCCAATATAAAACAGGTTGCCTGACTGTGGGCCAACCCATGTGCTTAAAAGGGACTTACACTACAGGCACACACAAAATGTTAACAAAAGGTTTACTTATAAGGGAAAGGGAAATGTGGAAATGTACAACTCAGGGAGAAAGGAGGGAGAGAAAGTTTTAAATGTGTCCTACCTGATCCACTGACCTGGAATCCCAAAAGACCCGCAGAGACCAAACATGCCTGGTGGAGAGCACAAGCCAAGTGTGCCCTGACCCCACTAACACATTGCTGGTTTTTATGTACAAACTGAGGAAATGGCTGCTTAACTCCGCCATTAAGTCCTCACAACTTCCCTTTGGGGATCATGGGATTAGTAGTTTCCAGTGTCTTGATGGAATGGATGTCTTGTGGCATCCACAAAGCCTATATGGAATTTGATCAGGACATCCTTTACCCCTAACAGTACTACTTTCTTTAATAAGTCACCTTTCAGGCCTTCCCAGTGACACAGCAGTTGAGTACTGGACTGTGAAGCTGCCCACAGCCTCTGCAGCACTGGTCCCTGGCCACCAGTAGAGTCCCACATGGCGCTACAGACCTCTCCTGCCTGACACCCACTGCTCCCCTCAGCAGTGCACTTCGGTCCTTCTGCCTGTTCTGATCCCTGCTCTGGCTCTGGTGAATTATCTCACCCTCCTGCGCTTCTGACTATACACAGTGCTTGCATAAAATAAATAAATCTAAAAAAAAAAGGGATCTTTCATTGGTGAATATGTAGCCTAATTTGAAAAATGCATTTCCATATCTAAACACTTTTACACACAAATTTCAAATGAATTAAATAATGAGGGGAAAAATGCTTTTGGAAGAAAAACTAAGCAGGTAAGTGTGTTGATTCTGGAGCCACTATATTGATGGACTTTAAAAACAAAACAAAATACTATCCTTATTTTAAGTCATTTTGTTTTGGTTAGAGAGCGTTTCACTGAACATCTGCCTCTCAGAGGCACCAGGCCCAGACATTTAATACCTAAGATTAAGAGCCGACAAACAGTAAATTTCATGTTTGAAAACTTCCATATAATTTTCATTGTGTTCTCATAGGTCTCAGCTATGCGATTTGTGCATTCAGCACGAAATAGTGCAAAAATAGAAAAGTAATAGGTAGGGGATGCTAACAAAACATTTGTGAGTCAGTCCCTGAAAAGAAACAAAACCTAGGGCCTCCCCTGGTGGCACAGGGGTGAGCACTGGGCTGAGAAGCTGCCCGCAGCCTCTGCAGTGCCAGTTCAATCCCTGGCTGCCTGAGAGGGTCCCGCATGGTGTGCAGACCTCTTCTACCACATCTGCTGCTCCCCTCAGCAGTGTATTTCGTCAGTCTGCCTGTACTGCTCCCTATTCTGGCTCTGGTGAATTTTGTCACCCTCCTGAACTGGACCCAGTGCTTGTATTAATAAGTAAATCAATATTTGGGGAAAAATATAAACAAAACACAACAGCAGTCACAATCTAGTACTTGATCCAGTGAAGACAAGATTGAATGCTCACATCAAATGCACTACATCAGGAGAAGCATTGTGAGTAAAAGGATGAGGAATTGAAAACAGAGAAATCCATAGCTGGATGCTGACAAGTTAAGAAATATCCTAAAACAGCTCTCAGAGGCTGCACGATATTCCCTGAACATGGTGAGTGTGGGGCCAGGTGCTGAGGGAAGTGCTGGCACAGAGCAAACAATATCAGCCAGTTTTGTGGCAGTGTGTGTGGGGAGCTTGGTGCATGATACAAGACCAAAGTGGCCCTGCTCTTCAAGAAGAGGATTATAAGGTGCTATCCACTCATAAAGACAGCGCTACCACATGTTGCTTCTCATTTGTAACACGAAAAAAAGCATAATGAGGGCTGTATGGATGCTTTTGGAAGGATTTCTAGCTAAGACAATGGATACTCACTGAAAACCATTGGAAAGATGGAAGCCACGATTTGGTTTGCTTACTCTGAGATATTTCAATCATTGGTTGATTTTTCCCTGCACTGATCAGCCATCAACTGTTTTGCCCTGGAATTCATCTTCCCTCAACTATTAAGCAAGTGTCTGCCTCCGCCATGAGCCCTTTCCCCTGGGTCGGCGGGTCCCTGCCTGTGTCTGGCATCCCCTGCTTGTCTCTGCGCCCACTTTCCGGACGGAGCAGTCCTCCACTGGTTATACAAGGGCAGATTGGTGATCGGCTAGTTTTTTGTAGACGGGTTCCTTCAGGACAGTTTTTCCCTTAAGCGGCCCTGGGCGTGGCCCCTGTTCCCTGTTCTGTCAGGGTGTTTTGTCTGGGACTACTCGCTCATTGGCTGTTTTTCTCTGCATTGACTGTCCATCGGTTAAGTCTTGAATGGGTTTGGGGCGTAACGGACGCTTTCGACCCAGGATTGTCGGTCATTTGATGTTCTTGCCCTTAGACACACACAGTCATCTACTATTTACGCCCGGTAAGGTGGGTCACCCATCAGTCATACCTGCACTGATCAGTCGTCCTGTAGGCGAGGCTGGTAGCATCAGTCATCCATGCGTTGGGCCTGGACTGGTCAGTCACTCACTAGTTGGGCCTGGGCTAGTTCTGCATCTACCATTGATGGTTTCACTGATTGGCCATGGACTCTGAGCCGTGTGACTCAGTCATGCACTCGGTAAACCTGGGCCCGTTGGCCACTGTGTCTGGATGCTTGGTCCGCGTTCCCGTTGCCTGGACGGGCTCGTTCTCGGGCTTCTTTTCCCGAGGCTGCATCCAACTGGAACCCTTTCCTTGGGCTGTCAGAGTGTCCTTATCTGCAAAGACATGCTCAAGGAATGCTTTTGTCTGCACTGACTCAGGCACAGGCTGCCATAGCCTGGTTGCTGAGTTGTTGACCCAGGAAGCTTGGTCATGGGCTTTTCTTTTCTGTGAACAGACTGTCATGTGCTAGATGGGCCCGGCCTGGGGTCAGCAAGCCTTTATGCCTCGTGGTGTCAGTCATCAACTAGTTGTGCCTGGGTTGATCTGTCAGCAACTTGCTATGTCTTGTGACATCAGTCATCAACTACTGCCTGGGTTGATCTGTCAGCAACTTGCTATGCCTTATGACATCACTCATCAACTACTTCTGCCTGGGTTGATCTGTCAGCAACTAGTTCTGCCTTGTCGCATCAGTCATCAACTAGTTGTGCCTGGTTTGATCTGTCAGCAACTAGTTTTGCCTTGTGTTATGAGTCCTCAACTGGTACCAGGGCTGATTCAGTAATTACTTATGCCTTGGGACATCAGTCCTGGCCTCCTTGGTGCTCGGTAGATCTGTCAGCAGCTAGGTATGCCTTGTGATCGCAAGCCTCAACTAGTGGTACCTGGGTTGATCTATCAGTAACATGTTTTGCCTTGGACATCATTGACTTGTTGGGGCTCTGTCAGCAAGGACTTGTGACTACTTGTGCCTGGGTTGATCTGTGAGCAACTATTTATGCCTTGTGGTGTATGAGTCCTCAACTGGTAGCAGGGCTAATTCAGCAACTAGTTATGCCTTGCAACGTCAGGCCTGGCCTCCTTGGTGCTCGGTAGATCTGTCAGCAGCTAGGTATGCCTTGCGATCACAAGCCTCAACTAGTGGTACCTGGGTTGATCTGTCAGCAGCTAACTATGCCTTGCGATATCAGTCATCAAAGGGTGGTGCCTGGTAACCCACTGGTAGGGCCAGGGCTGAGCGGTCCTTGTCTGGTCCTGGCGGCTGTGATTGTCCTGGACTGACTGGCCCTGGGCTGCCTGCGTTCGAGGCAATTCCCCGAGCCCTCGCTCTTTGCCAGTTTGCAGGGCGAGGGGCCCCTCGCCTGCTGGGCTTCTCAGCAGCGGTGCCCTGGCCTGCCTGCTTCTCAGGCTGCTTGCCTCCTGCGCGGCTTGCCCCCGGCTGGCGGGGCTGCTGTTATCTTCCCGGGAGTTGGGGGGCGCTGGCCCATCTCCTGGGCTGGCTGGGTCAGCGGCCGGGGCTCTGGTGAGCGCTGGGCTTCCGCTGGCGCGTATTCCCAGCAGGGGGTCGCCCAGGATGTGAGAATCTATGCGAGGCCCCGTACTCGGTTGCCATCCTTGCCATCAGCTGGGCTGGGCTGAGCTTGTGGCGTTTTGGTTGTCCCGGGAGAACTATTTAAATTACACTGGCCGTGTGGTGACGGGTCAAGCGGGACTTGGTGGAGGGGATTTTGCAGGGGCTCTACCTGAGAGGAGACACAAACATGGCACAGAAATGAACGTCGATGTAAAATATAACAAAGATTTTTTTTTTTTTTTTTTAAACACGCTATACTGAGCAATGTGTTTCTCTCTGTAACCTCATTTTGGGTTACAGCCCAAAAACCTCCAACCCAGTTTGTAGCAAAACCCATCTCTATAAACTTACTATGCTCTTGGCAAGGTGGTCGACTGTGGGAAACAATTTAAAGTGAAAAGGAATCTTTGTGTGAGATGATCTAAAAGAGTAGACAGCACAGCTGAAATGATAGAACATGATCTTCTAGCTGTCCCCTATCTTGTTACCTGAACTTTCTTTGGGAAAAAAAGTGACGCAAATATCGCAGATGCTTCACGAGATTTGGGTGTCTGCCATTTTCCCTTCTCATCAATAATCAGGGTGGTGCTGTATTATTTTTCCTCCAGGTCAGTATTACTTTGATGCTAATAACTAAGAGAGACAAAACACAAAAAAGGAACCTAGAAAACAATTTCCCTTATGAACATAGATGTGCAGAGCCTCAAAATTTAAGCAAACGAAATCCAGCAAGAAACACGTACATACATCCAAATACACACAACATAAACCAAAATCACTTTCATTAAGAAAACAAAAAGACAAAAGATATTATTTCTAGGGTTAAGCAATTGAATACCATTGATTTAATAGAAT